AAGGTGATAGCAATAGACATAGTACTATCATCCATTGTTATCATCATCATCAGGATAAAGCAGTTAAGGATCCCATTGAAACCTCAATTTATCAACTTTGATAAATGTGCTACACACACTGTTAGTGTATCACAAATTAAAAGGGGTAGTATACTATTAATGATCATATAACTACTACTGCTTCATAGTGGTAGTAGTATACTAGGTGCTCGTTGGACTGCTGAGATTTGATGATAGTCTTAGTGAGGAAGATATGGATCTATTAGCAAAGAAGTTTACCAAGAAGTAATATTAATACTCATCATCATCATGATGTGAAACCTACTATAATAATAATAATCTTATATCAGGAATACTGTAGATAAAGTGGATTATGGATATTTATGTGAAGTGGTGGATCCTCCACCAGCACTCTGTGTGGACAATGTTGTAGATAGGAATATCCTACCTAGTAATTATGTTCTTCAGTAGTAATCCTACATGTGCTGTATGTTGTATAATGATGTTATAATAAGGAATAGTGTTAGTGCTTAGTAAATGATGATTATCGACTTATCCAAAACTCAACATACTTGGAGGTAGATCAAAGAACCTAGATAGGCCCCCCCATATGGAGTCCATCATCCAACTCTATTATAGAGGATTCTCGTCTTACTATCATGCAAGGGGCTGATTAATATTCACCATATAGTCCTCATGCCTCATTACTTGGAGAATCCGTTAGGACATACCTACCATCACTGATAGCGACTAATAGCACTATTCCTCAATGATTAGTTTGGGCGCCTCCGGAGGTAGTACAACATTATTGTACAATGCGTCCCTCCAACCCGTAAGACTGAAAACATTCGATAACCCCAGTTTAGCAGCAGTTGCATTGTATCTTAACTAAGAAGAGCCTGCAGGTAAACCTATATCTATAACGGCAAAGGAAAAGAGTACCCCACATCATCAATTCACCATTAACTATGACTTGGAGTATCCCACATCATCAATTCACCATTAACTATGACTTGGAGTACCCCACATCATCAATTCACCATTAACTATGACTTGGAGTACCCCACATCATCAATTCACCATTAACTATGACTTGGAGTACCCCACATCATCAATTCACCATTAACTATGACTTGGAGTACCCCACATCATCAATTCACCATTAACTATGACTTGGAGTACCCCACATCATCAATTCACCATTAACTATGACTTGGAGTACCCCACATCATCAATTCACCATTAACTATGACTTGGAGTACCCCACATCATCAATTCACCATTAACTATGACTTGGAGTATACCACATCATCAATTCACCATTAACTATGACTTGGAGTATACCACATCATATTCACCATTAACTATGACTTGGAGTATCCCACATCATCAATTCACCATTAACTATGACTTGGAGTATCCCACATCATCAATTCACCATTAACTATGACTTGGAGTATCCCACATCATCAATTCACCATTAACTATGACTTGGAGTATCCCACATCATCAATTCACCATTAACTATGACTTGGAGTATCCCACATCATCAATTCACCATTAACTATGACTTGGAGTATGATCCCGGTATCTATCTTGATATCTTACAAGTCTTCAACGAACGCTTCAGTGTCAAATCGATTGTAATGGCGTGCGCGATTATAACAGCACAATGGTGGTGTAACTCTCATTGTTGTTCATCATCAACTCATGTTCCGTATTCGTGGTCCCAGTATTGCCTTATTGAGTGCTGTAAGGCCTCGTGTATTCTTTGACATTAGTATAGCTGGTGCTAAGTCTGGTAGAATAGAGATGGAGCTCTTCAACGGTAATGCTTGGACCATATCGTTATCATCATGATTACATGTGTTAGATGTCGTACCAAAGACAGCTGAGAACTTCAGAGCACTATGTACTGGTGAGAAGGGTATTGGTCATAGTGGTAAGAATCTATATTATAAAGGATCTACATTTCATAGGATAATACCACAGTTCATGTGCCAGGTTATAATAATAATGCTCTTCATTATCATACATAATATTACTTTTTGTTAGGGTGGTGATTTCACTAGAGGTAATGGTACTGGTGGTGAATCTATATATGGTATGAAATTTAGAGATGAGAACTTCAAATTACGCCATACTGAGGTAGGCTATTATTATTATTGTTCATTCTGTTGTTATTATTATTGTATTACTAGCCTGGTCTACTATCAATGGCTAATGCTGGACCTAATACTAATGGTAGTCAATTCTTTATAACTACTGTACCAACACCATGGTTGGATGGTAAACATTGTGTATTTGGTAAAGTAGTATCTGGTATGGATATCGTTAAGAAAATGGAAGCAGTTGGTAGTCAAGGTAATAAGATAAGAATAAGAAGGCTCTTATTATTCTTAGGCTTATCATCATTGTCAGGTGGCCAACCTCGTAAAGAAGTTACTATACAAGATTGTGGAGAGGTGAAAACATCAGAATAAGTATCCTTCATCCTTTCTACACCAACAAGAGTAATGATCTATCTGTTTCGGTTATTATTCTTTATGTGGTGTTATTCGATTATAATAATGTTGTCTTATTATTCTTGTTTACCAACTTAGTGGTAACAAAGCCATTCTTCTTCTTCTTCTTCGTGTAATGCCACCACCATCATCTACTGCTGCTGCTAGTCAACAACACTCAGCTTGGGATAGTGGTAAAGAGGCATTGCTTGCTGCTAGTAATGCGGCACAAGAGGGCTTTATTGAAGTAATTAATATACTATGATATTGATGATCATCAGCATAATATGAGATAATGCAGATACAACATTATATTGAACATGGACCTGATGGTTTAACTGTAGCTTCTTTTATTGGTGGTGTATTCCTATCTATAGTATCACTATTATCCATTATTAATGTATTATCAATACCATTCCATCCTTTATCATATCTCCTTAATTTCTTTATCCTATTTATGGGTATTGTTACAATAATTATTGAAGCATCACCTGATATGCTTAAGGGAGGACGAGGAGAGAGATATCAAACAGCAATGTAATAACATCACTATCATCCATCTATAGAGGAATAATGATCATTATTATAGATTTGATAATGCTAAGATATTGACCTATACTTGGGGTAGAGGCCTATTCTATATATTCCAAGGTTTACTGGCAATGCTTGAACCAGGATTATTATATATGATTGCTGCTATCATACAGTTCGTATTGGGTGTATTCTCTATTGCTATATGGAAAGGGTAGTAGTAGTAATAGTAGTAACATTATTATCCATACTATAGTCCATAGATACAAACCTCGTTTGAGCGTGTTGCGACAGAAGGTAGCAGCTGGTACAGGAAGAGTAGTAGAGTGTATTGAAGAAGGGAGAGGTGATGTTGCTAACATCAAGCCCAATCAACGACATAATGTGCAAGTGGAGTAGATTCATAATACACCTTTCTATTGTAATATGATGTTATTATTGTTGAGTGGAGTAGATTCATAATACACCTTTCTATTGTAATATGATGTTATTATTATTGAGTGGAGTAGATTCATAATACACCTTTCTATTGTAATATGATGTTATTATTGTTGAGTGGAGTAGATTCATAATACACCTTTCTATTGTAATATGATGTTATTATTGTTGAGTGGAGTAGATTCATAATACACCTTTCTATTGTAATATGATGTTATTATTGTTGAGTGGAGTAGATTCATAATACACCTTTCTATTGTAATATGATGTTATTATTGTTGAGTGGAGTAGATTCATAATACACCTTTCTATTGTAATATGATGTTATTATTGTTGAGTGGAGTAGATTCATAATACACCTTTCTATTGTAATATGATGTTATTATTATAACAACGATACAAAGAGATCTTAGAAAGTCGAGGTAGATTGTAATGATGTTGAAGAAGGTGGTGGTAATCATACTAATGTTGTGTTCATCATTATCATCTTCTTCTTCTTTTCTTCTTTTCCTTCACACCAGTAGTCTCCCCCTCTGCTGCTACTCTCCTTTTACTATCACTTGCATTAGGACAGTAACCACAACGATCGAATGTCTACATATAAATACTCTTATTACTACTATTATTATTACTACTACCTTGCAGCAAGCATAACCCCACTTATGAGTAGCTCTATCATAATACGTACCCCATACTGAAGTATGGCCCTAATGATAAGAATACAGGAATACGCATCAATGATTATGATAATGACCAATATTAACTACATTAGAATAGTTATCCTCATCATAACGACTCTTGACAATGAGTTTAGACTCCCTAACATCATCATCTTCATCCACTGTCTAATAATAATAATTACATTCTCATTGTATTATAAACCGAAGACACACTTACTTCTTCTTCTTGTTGTTGTTGTTTCTTATCCTTAGACAATGCCAAAAGCCTCTTCTTAGTCTCAGCTGCTGCTGCTTCCTCTGGTGATGATTCATGACTACCACCACCCTGAGTACCATGATCCAAACATTTCATCATCATCAACATCATGATGATACCGATCATAATGCTTATATAATACACTACC